TTGATATTTATAGAAAAAAAAACTAAAAAAAGGCAGGTAAGTGGATGTCGCTCAGCTGTACAGTAGGTTACAAGTTGGTCATTGTTTAATGGATTGTATTAAACTTGAATTCAATGATATAATATCATTGTATAAGAAAAACGATTCTGAACGGAGACGGTTTGTCAGTCTGTATATTTTATATTGTCATTAATTTTTTTTTTTTTTTTTTTTTTTTTTTTTTTTTTATTGGATAACCCGCGGCAACATAGGCCATTGGGTGTTGGTAGGGAACTGTAGGTTTTTAGATTGGGTAGGTTGGTACACGTGTGTGTTTGTGGTGGCAGAATTTTTATTGGGGCACCCGTAGGTTTCTGCCATGCCCCGGGTTGGGGGATGGCGGCACTTGTACTCCGGACACCGTGACTTGCCCGGAGAAAAATGCCGCCCAGTGGCCGAGAGGCGAACCCGCGACTGCCAGCGCCGCAGTCGACGCGTTAGACCGCTCGGCCACCTCGTCCCCCATTTTCATTAATTATTATAACATGTAAGTTGTTTTAATACTATAAACCAGGGCTTCAAAACGTTTTCATAACGTTACGAGTATAACGTTAAACGATTCAAAAAACGATTGAAATCGATAACGGATAACATATCGGTAAACGACAAACGATTGAAACGAATAACGGATAACATATCGGTAAACGATAAACGATTGAAATGGATAACGGATAACGGAACAGTAACGATAAACGATTGAAATGGATAACGGATAACGGAACAATAACGATAAACGATTAAAATTAATATCAAATAACGCAACAAAAAACGATTAACGATTAAAAGTTGAATCTTAACAAACATGTCAGACAACAAAGGAAATTACGAAAATATTAAAAACTATCTATAGAATATAATTAGAATTTAGTTAGTTTTGTAGAAGGGCAAATGTAAACTGGGCCCGGAGTTACCTTTTTTGTTGTAAGCTCGGCCCGAAAATTATAGGTAATATAAATAGGTAGATTGTAATCTCGGCCTGGAAATTTCAGGTGGTAAAATAAATCGATTGTAAACTCGGCCCAAAAATGTCAGGTGTCAGATTCTATGTTTCCACCTGAAATGTGGGCCAGTGCATCAGTTGGAACGTATTTAATAACAAATGCATGTGATCATTTCATGCGCATTTTAATTCAAGTTTTAATTCCACTCACCCCAATATATATTCCGTCATTTCAAAATTAAAAGAAGTACAAACAGAAACGTACATTAAAATCAACAACCTAGATGGACCATTTAAATTCCAAAATATAAAAACTAAAAAAAAAAAAAGAACTCTTAGAAAGAACACTTACAAAATATAAAAATAAAGAAATATCAGTGAGTGAATATGTAAAATACATGGCTTTTTACTTAAAAAACTAGATTTATATATTATTATTATACTAACATTTTTCACTCATTATTTACACTACAATTTTACTTATATATTTTTTATTGTATTTAATCACATTTTTACACTTATAAATTTATATAATTACATTTATTATAATTTTATTATCAATATTAAAACATTTTTCATTTAAATAACGAATTTCATACTATATGAATAATAATATGAAAATGAAAATAATTTTTGAAGGATAATGAGAACCGCCTCCTCGTGGTGTCCTCCGGGTAATGCTAAATGTTTCTCAAAAATATTATAAGAAAAATGATGGTTTTTACACCTAAATCATTTTTACCTGAAAAAAAATCGGGGCCGAGTTTACATCTAAATAATTTTGACCCAAAAAAAACCCGGGCCGACTTTACCATCGACCTTTTGGAAATGTTTTTTCCTCGGGCCGAGTTTACAATCTCCCTTGTAGAACTGTTGCTTGATAGGACCATAATAATAAAGTGACTTTAATATTAGGTACTAATCAAAATTAATTAAATGTACAATATGGAACTATGAAAGTTTAAAATAGCCATAAATATTTCAAAGAAATAATACGCATTATCAATATTATATTTAGTCTTTCTTACAAAAGTGGAAAATATTTATAAATAATGTCTGGGTAAATAGTATTAAACCCGTTCAACGGGTTCTACATTTCTTAGTAATGTATTTATAAATAATTAATATTTAAAACGTTTAAACGTTAAACGGAACATTTTATAAACGTTTAAATTCTTTATAACGTTAAACGATAAATCGATCATAACGTTTGATATCATATAACGTTAAACGCTAAATCGATCATAACGTTTAATATCATATAACGTTAAACGCTAAATTGATCATAACGTTTAATATCATATAACGTTAAACAGTAATTTGGTCATAACGTTTGATATTCATATAACGGTAAACGGTATTATTTTTTTGGATTTAAGCCCTGCTATAAACTAACTATATAGATAATACCTACCTATTTTTTTTTTTATTCGTTGCTACGGTGATAAACAAATTGTTAGAAATTAAAATCCCATTTTAAGCGGTTTTTCGTAATTTTTCAGTACTTTTTCCCGTGGCATTAAATAACTATTGAGAAAATCGAAAAATGACCTCTCTAAAGTACCATCTTGGTCCAATTTGCTAAAAGATAAGGTACTATATGTTGAAATCAAAGCACTCCTTCTGGTAGAAATTTTGTATACAGGATATAAAAAAAATAAAAAAAATAAAATAAACACCATTGTAAAACCACTAGCTTCCTTGCTCCGCTCAGAATCTAAAATTGAAAACTGAAAATTTCCGTTACAGCTCAAAAAGAGTCAAAATATTTTCAAAATTATATGGTGTACAGGAAATGTTAATATAAACATTCAGTGAAATTTTCAAGTATCTACAGTCATTCGTTTTTTAATTACAACAAAATTAGAAAAACGTTACATGAGAAATCGAGTGAATATCAAATGTTGTGAAAATATGAATTTCAAACGCTCATAAAAATTTAATTTGAGTTTCTTGTATACATTTTTTTTTTTGATAAAGGTAGACAAACTTATGAGGAATCTTGTATTACATTTTCATATATTAGATTTAAAAAGAAAAATTTTTTAGTATTTCTAACTCAAAATAATTTGCAAATTTTTACGTATTTTGTCAATATTTTGTCAATATTTGAACTTTAAATGCTTATAACAAAAAACTGTGACTAAGGATTTTTAATATTTTTCATCTGTCTTTGAAACAATATATTAACTATTAAGAGCCTTCTATTAAATTTTTAAGCTTTTGTACCCAACAAATAAAATTTTATTGATATTCATAGAAAAAAAATGAAAACTGAAAATGTCCGTAAAGAGCTCAAAATAATTTAAAATATTTGGAAAATTTTATCATGTATAGAAAATGGAAATATAAACAACTTGTGAAATTTTCATGTATATACGTTCATTTTTTTAGAGTAACAACAAAAACCAAAATCGATTTTGTGATCATGTGTTTATTAAATAATATTTATATGCGTGTGTGTATCCGGCTGCATACGAATTGCATGCCAAAAAAAAAAAATGTCCAAATTGCATGCCGTCTCTTGTAGGGGTTTGTCCGAATTGCGTGCCCTCTCTTGGAGGGGTCTGTCCGAATTGCATGCCATCTCTTGGAGGGGTCTGTCCGAATTGCATGCCATCTCTTGGAGGGGTCTGTCCGAATTGCATGCCATCTCTTAGAGGGCTTTGTCCGGATTCCATGCCGTACACCACACGTTTATTTCCTATGCACTTAAACAACTTAAATTTTTTTTTGGACTTTCCTAATTCTTTTAAAAAAATGCATGTATAGAAACGCTCTTTTATGTATGGTTGTTACAACTGTTTAGTGATTAGTTTCTGGATTGAAATATTTTTATATCCGTGTAAATATTTTCCCAAACAGTATCTATATATTGGAGTAATGTAGTGTATTGTGGTCTCGGTCTGTTTCACAACAGATTAATAATATTTTATTATTATGAATTATTATTATATATTATTTTGTTTATTTAAATTGTAATATTGTGTGCCCGAAATGTCAAAAAAACCACCAAATTTAAAAATAATATTATTTAAAATACACTCACTTGATTACCCTAAACTACAATAGTTTTATTTAACTAATGGCCTTTGTTGTCGATGAAAAAAAAATAGTTTTATATTTTTATGATTCTTATTCACAGTGTCACCTTCTACAATATTTATATGTTTTATTGTAATGTAACAAAATCCCGATCCTCCAGTTGAAAAGTAAGTTGTGTATTCGGATATACCCCTCTAAGAGATGGCATGCAATTCGGACAGACCCCTTCAAGAGACGGCATGCAATTCGGACAGACCCCTCCAAGAGACGGCATGCAATTCGGACAGACCCCTCCAAGAGACGGCATGCAATTCGGACGACCCGATTTATATTTATTTTTTTGGCATGCAATTCGGATGCACCGGTGTATCCTGCAGGCATTTCGCTACCTGCTCGGCTGCTCCACAAAAGTAGGTACACTTTGATTTTAACGCGTATTTGTTGACGACACACCGCTTCTACTTTTAATTAATAATTTGTGGTTAGCTTCAACGACCAGAGATTTGCGATTTGCGAACTGTTGGGGACAGCCGACGGGAGTAGGTTAATACAGTATATATATTATATATAGATATAGTCAGTATAATTTAAATAACGTATAAACATGGCATGTAATAATATGTTAATAACAAAAAAATGGTATTGGTGGAATCAAAAACCTAATAGGTACATACAAAACAATAATAATATAAAATGTATGGCTTGAGGCGAGTGGTGGACGTTGACATAAAACTGTACGACGCCGGACAAATAACGGCGATGACGGCGAACGTGCACTAACTGCAGCAAACAAACGAGGACGAAAAACGTCATTTTCGTACATTGACGAACTTGAACGAACTCGAACAAAAACGGACGAATTGTCCGACAATTACAACGGGCGTCGCGGGTTCAAGAGGCGGCGGCGGCGAACGGTGGTAACTGGTAACATAGGCGGGATAACGGTGGCAGGGGATGAGGTCGAACTTTGCGGATATCATTCCAGGTCAACAAAACTTTGGCAGAAGCATATTCTGCGTGCAAAGTTGACCATGGATTTCCACATGAATCTTTTCGACCTCTTCCATAATGATCTGCGACGACCAGACCGTGCAGGATTTGGCTGAATTTCAGCTGCCACCGGTGGAACAGACTTCACTGGTCCGTACACGGGTGAGTGAATTCTCAGCTCTGCGGAAGACCGGAAAATTACTGAATTTTCTCGCAGCGGCCGTAACTGTAGCCCAACAGTTGTAGTGATCCTGCGATCCACGGCCAAGTCCAAAGCGTCGATCATGGAAAGACCATAATGTTGCTGCAAGCGTTTTGGCGTTTCCGTTAGGTTGTCTGCCTCCGCAGTCGTAAGAACAGGTACCACTGGTGGAACAGACGTCACTGGTCTGTACACGGCCGAGTGAATGATCAGTTCTGCGGAAGACTGGAAAATTACTACATTTTCTCGCAGCGGCCGTAACTGTAGCCCAACAGTTGTAGTGATCCTGCGATCCACGGCCAAGTCTAAGGCGTCGATCATGGAAAGACCATAATGTTGCTGCAGGCATTTCAGCGTTTCCGTTAGGTCGTCTGCCACCGCAGTCGTAATAACAGATGGCACTGGTGGTGAGTCGATCTTTACTACCGGGTTGTCCACGGGTGAATCATTGGTCAGTTCTGGGGTCGAACGGAAACTCTCTGCAAGTCCGCACCGTAACGGACACCCGACAGTAGTGTTATTGCGGTCGCCGGCCAAGTCCAAAGCGTCGATCAAGCAGCGACCCTCATCGGCATAATCAGACGATTGTGTGCATCTCGAAGATCCCACGTTGGCTTCCATCTCTATCGTGTAGTATACGAAGTTTGAACGGCAAGCAGAAATGAAAAAAGGTTTGTTTTACGAAATATGTCTAAGACTAGCTGTCACGGACGAGTGATAAACATGTAATGACGGATTTCAAATTATTATTAGGTATAACAGTCCTACAGTCTACACTCCTACAATATATAAATAATAGTCTTGTAGTTTCCCTAGTTTATATTGTGGCCAGCTATAGTAAATAGCAGTTAAATACAAATAGCAGTTACAATTATAAATCATACTTCAACAATAATAATTTGAATGAATAAAACCTACGAATGTTCTTAAAATTATACCGGTTTTGGCGTAATCAGAATTCAGAATCATATTACATCAATCATATCGCATTGTCAAAAAATTTAGAAAAAATCTTAATTTTAGGTTTTTAACTAAATTTTTTAGATTTAAGTTATATCTATTCACTCCATAAGAAATGATTTGTTGTACTTATTACATGTCTTTTTTTTTAGTTTAAAATTAAAAATATATTTAAGTAATTTGTAAATATAAAAACATACCGTAACATAGGTAGCGAACCCAAGGGGAGGTTTTTGGGTCTGGACCTCCCCCATTGATTGACAGAACTTGTTATTTTTAGTGACCTATAATTTTTCATTATACTTTTTACATGATAAAAAAAATTTGGACATCTCTTAGAAAAGTGCCTGTGTACGACTCTATGTGATGACTATAATTCCTTCTATTGCTGAGATCAATAATATAATCTAAAATAAACAAATGAATATTAAATAATATATAGGTTAGTGCGTGTTAGCACCTACCCACCTTATTATTAATGCATTTGATCCCCCAAAGTACCAACTAGATTCACTTTCCTATCAGAAAAGATACTGTTGAAGAAAATCTAAGCATTTTTACTGTCGTAAAAGGTGATGACAGACACACAAAAAATAACCACATCATTATAAATCAATGCGTTCAACGCTCCGCTCAGAATCTAATATAGTAATATATATGTTGACTTTTAAATTATATTTTATATTTAAAAAAAATTAAGAGCAATGTGCCACCGGTGTGCCAAAATATTTGTAACTACAATTACATTTTTATGTTATTTTAACCCTGAACTGCTTTACCTTCTCACTTGTTAAAAATAATAGTATGTAAAAAGCCACTTAGTTTTTTATAATCATGATTTATTGATTTGGCATATAGAGAAGTTTATAAATAGCTAAGTAGTAAGTGCATATAGCGCATACCTATATAAAATAAAAGTATCAAACTCTTAATAGATTCGAAAAAATAAAGTATTTTCCGATATTTTCATTTTCGACGTACCCTGACATAATAATTATTTATCATTCTATCTACAGATATTCAGAATTTGTATATTATTGAATAATCAGCTTCCACTTTAAATATTGTTGTCATTCAATTAACCGGTTGATCTAAATGGATGAAAATTAAGTGGTGTATTATGCCGTATCTCAAGAGTCATGTGATACGTATAAAGTATTATATTATATAACTATATTATGTATAAGGTATGTTATTCGTTGTATTTGTCATGTAGTAGGTACCCACTATCCAAGAAATATTAATGAACAGATTGAAAAAAACATCTGAAAAGTAGCTCTGCTATTGGTTTATTGAGCGGTTTGAGAGTAAAAACACATACTTATTATAAATATTGTAGAAGAGAAGTTAATGATATTATTATGTGCCTATATAAAAGTAAATTTTTAATATTTGAATTTCTAAACTCAATAATTCAAATTCAAAAAGTAAAATATCAAGTGTTATAGAACTAAATATTGGACATTGAAAATAAAATATCGAAAATCAACTAACATACTCTGATTATCATTAATTCATTTTTTTTAACTTTTTCATTATATTTAAATGCATAGGCGTGCGCAGACTTTAATTTCGGGGGGTGCCTACATATTACTGGGCCCTCTCTTAACAAGACATGGACATATTAATCGGTGGTACCTATATAATTACTAATAGCAACTACTAATTACCATAGTAACCATAATTACCAATTACAATATTGCGTAATATAACACTTAGATAGTTAGATATAACTTTATAGTTATAAACCTTTTTTTCTACCTACATTTTTTGTTTGCAAGTGTGAAGTGATTCAAGAACTTTTTAGTGTTCAATTCCAAGTACTGATAACGAAGATAATTTATCTTGCCCAATAGTTGATCGCTGCCAATTTTTAACTCTCTTGGTCTCTTTAAAATTTAAAAGAATCTTTCAGCTTTACACGAAGTACCAAAAATTGATAAATATAATATTCTGAAAGCAATGTTTACATATGGAAAACTTGTTACCATTTTGGTATTTATTTGTTACATTAGCATTTCACTGACAGACATTCTAATTTGAAGAAAGCGCTTGAAGATTAAAAAAAAAATCATGAGCAAATGCAGATTCCAAATCGGTTTTATAGGCTTTATGGCCTTTAACTAAATTATTTGCATTTATTTTTATTTCTTCGTCTTATAAACTCAATATTCAGTTAAAAACTAAATCTTTCGTCTAATCCCTGCAGTCGATAATAAACTATTGTTTGTATTACGAAAACGATATTATTTATAATTATTATTTCCTAAAATCATAGGCGTGTCCAGACCTTGTTCGCAGGTCATGCACAGCAGTGGCATATTTAGGGGAAGTAGGTTTCTGCACCCCCCACCCCCTAAAAAAAATTTGGTTTCGGTTTAAGGATATGACCTCCAAATTTCTTAATAAGCTTTATCATTACCTATTAATTATTATCTAATACTTCAGAATAAAAAACAATATTCCTTTTATTAAATAAATAAAATAACAAGGCAATATAAAATTGTATTTTAAAATATAATTAATGTGTACCTAATACTTTTTACAAAATTTTTATAATCACAAATGGTCTTAATACTTAATATATATTATAATTCTTAACGTCGTTTTGTTGGTATCATCACTTTAATATCCTTGATAACTTCGTCATAATTAATATTTGTTGTCATCTGTTGTTCTATGAATAGAAACATTAAAGCGTCAAGTCTTTCTTGAGTCATGGTGCTGCGGAGTTTTGTTTTTACGATTGTCAGCTTAGAAAATGCACGTTCGTATGAACAAGTTGTTACCGGAATAATGGTAAAAAATACTATTACTTTATAGAAGTGAAGAAAAATATAAGTTCTATTATTTGAATTTAGAAAATCAATCCATTGATGAAGTGTTTTAGAAGTGGTTCCACAAGGGAAGCATTATCAATAATTGTAATAGATATTAAAAGTCCACATGATGAAAATCAAAAAATTTAATATGAAATCAGAATCTAAGAAAAAAGTGTATATTATTATGTACCGCAATTTATAATGTAAGTTAGATCAAATTTCGCAGGTCATGCCTGTGCATGACAGGCAAGACCCGTAGACACGCCTATGCCTAAAATACTCTAAACAGTAATCGTGGTATCATTATTAAATACATTATATTTTACTTGTTGTCCTAACGTGTGTAGTGTGTACAACCGTGCAGATTAATTTACAATAATAATAAAAATAAAACATAAAATATTACAAAAAAATCGTAGTCGCACATTTTACTTTCGTAGGCCCCAAAAAGTCGTACGCACTAGGCACAATGCCTATGCGCTAATACGGCACTGCCTGTGCACATGCCTATGTTTAAATTATGTCAAATGGTTTTAAAATATTTTGTATAGGAATGAGAACGAAGCATTTGTGTGATTTTATGTGAAAATTTGATTTATTAGCTTTTTTGCAGGTTTGCAGTGTTGCCGGTGATAAATAATAATTTTATGTGAATAATTATTTTTTTTATGATAATCAATAGGTACCTATATTTTAAATTGTTCTTTTTTTACCGATTACCGGGCTGCAGCCAGGCCCGTCGCTTGGGCACAAGCAAGTCGTGTTCCTTTAGGGTGGCAGACAAATTTAAAGAAATTGAAGCCGGTAAAATTAAATAAATATCGGTAAAGAATAACGGTTCTAACGCTTAAGGGCGAAAAATATAACCTAACCTCCTAACTACGGGCCTGGCTGCAGTAAACCCTGCGGAACCTGATGTGCGCCTATGTGCTCCTGATACAAAATTTCGCATTTCAGGCCATGTTTCCGTCACTCCACGCATGACAAAAATGTTTTTTTTTGTCATGACTCCACGCTTCCAACGCCGTTATCAACAACGTGCGCCACAGTATAAAATCGATTTTCGTTATCAGGGTCCAGGAAAACTTGTTCTCTAGTTCAGTAACTGATTTTACTTTCACATTATTTTGCTGTTCCGAAGGATGTACTAGAACAGGGAAAATGGGCCGACCACAAAAGCGGTGTATCTTCTTTTCTAGTTATTTATCCACGCCATACAACTGCAAGTCTTCTTGATGAAATGTCTTTTAAGAAGTATTCTAATTTCTAATATAGATACAGACATATAATATGGTCCCAAATATATTATTATTTATTTTTAAAAGTTTATTAAGAGAACGTCAAGACGTCACACACTCACGTGTTGTCTACTTATCTCCGTCTTACAAATGTACAACATAGCAAAAACTGTTTTGTTAGGGACAACTTTTATCTTTCTATATTTGTAGTAGTGGCTCCAAAATTGCTGAACTTATAGAGGCTAGACAATTGTCTATACAACAGAGTGCCTATATTTTAGATAACATAAATACAATAAAAGACATTTAGTTTTTTTTTTTTCATTTGCTTATAAAAAATGATTGGATAGTGCTATTAAAAAAAAGCACGCTGTTGCACAGATAAAGTTCTTCTTTACGTGTTGTGAAAATTCGGTAGTTCCACAACAAGTATGATGCGAGAAAAGTTGTCCCGCGCAAGACAGTTTTTGCTATGTTGTACATATTTTGTAAGACGGAGATAACACATGCGAGTGTGAAGTACAACTCTCAAGTACTTATTTGAAATAGGTACGTACTTGAATACTTTACGTCTTTACGTTTTTATTATAAAAACATACCTAGTACAATATTAATTATTATTCCGAGATACAGGAAAAACTACCGTAGAACAATGATAATACAAAATATTAAATAACTACTACACTCTATAGGAAAAATGAGTCGACGAACCGATAACGAACTTAAGAATCTAGACGGCGTTGTAACGTGATTTTATCTGTGATTGGACAAGAACATAGAATAGGTGATAACAATATTTACTACGGACCACGGACTGATAAGCTAGAATGAAGTAAGTTGATACTTGTGAGTAAAGTTGTGGGGACAGCGGCCAGCCGCTCCACAGCAACACAAGTGGTATCCTCATTCCTCACCACCTTCCCACCGTATAACCACGAACCAGCTACCGCAGTGTCTACAATTTCTATTATTATTTATTAAAATGTATTAATATTATTATAACCATTATGGGTATCCTACGTCCTGTCTACCTGCGATAAATTTCCCGTTTTCCGGAGTTGAAAAGTGAAAAGTGAAAAGTTTTCGGCGACTGTAACGTAAGTAATTTTGTTTTTACACGGCCAACTGGGTTAAGACTACGTTTGTTTTGTTTTCAAAAATGTAAATGATTTTTCGAAAAAAATGTATTCATTTTTACACACGGGTCCGTTGGTTATGCATTACGTTTTCCCTGCGTGCCGTCACTAGAAGTATTACCCACATCTGTAGGTAATCTTATTACGTCAAACCGAAATTTGAAAGTAAGTACCCGGATGTGTCATGTACATTGTGTGTGTGAGACATGAATGTTTGTTTATTACAAATCATAATATTTATGTACCTATTAGCTATATTGAATCAGCCTAGTCTCCACGACTGCTCCTGTTTTCTCTCAACTTTTTAAAAATGTTTACCCATTTTGACTATTTTGGGCCCAATTGTTTTAAATTTCACAATTGCTACCACCTACTTCTTTACCGTTATTATTTATCTGTAGCTTAACACAACAATCTAAAATTAAAATCAAGTATCAACATTTATACCATACAAATCTCGCTATATTTCATTGATTTGGTTAATTTATAGTTGGAAAAAAAACTTTAATGGCATAGCCCATCATTGAAAATGGACCAATTAACAATTTGATAAAATTACAAAATTTCATCGATCACAACGACATTTTTAGAAACAAATGGTCCCATAAAACCACTGAACCCCATATTTTATAATATGAAAGCCCATGTTTTAGATAAAACCTTGTAGTACATACATGACATTCATTTTGCACAAATTAGTGATAGACTGATGCGTTTTGTTGTAGATTACGGCTCTCATCTAGATTGCTTGTGTACATAAATACATGATTAATTACATGTCATTGGCATGTATGTCTTTATAATAGGAAATTGATTTAGTCAGTACTTTCTGATTAGCTCTTCTATAGGTACCCTATCTAATTGGTTTAAAAAGTCACAATTTTAAAATTTACTATTAATGGAATTTGTATTTCTTATCGTAAAAATGCATGATAGATCATTTCTTTTCGTAATTCAACTATGCATTTTTTGAATGCAAATTAGTAGTACCATTGATTATAGAATAGACTATTCTATAATCAATGGTAGTACATAATATTGAATAACTTAGCAATTTCAAAATAAAATGTATGACATTTTAAACTATTTAAACAACAAGTGCTTTACTTACAGTTCTATTAATAATTCTAATGTCTTCTGCCATATAGGATACATCTAGCATAAATCTACATTTAAAATATTATTTCATTAGTATTTCTACATGAATTCCAAACCATTCATATTAATTTTTAATTCCTAATAAGAAATTAAAATATGGTTATTGGTTCTGCCATAGACTACATAAGTACATAAGTGTGTATAATTTTTAATTAAACCATATACCAAAGAATTATCAAATATATGTTATTTTAAAGATATTCTATGAATATTTTATTATTGGCTATCATTATTATAAAATATTTAATTAAGTGTTAACAAACATTTTTATTTTCAGTTGGTATTTCTATATAAGAAATATGCTTGCCTGTGCAGAAATTTCAAAAATGGACACTTGCAGACTTCAACAAATTAAGCTTGGATCAAATATTATTGTTGATGGTTTATTTTTTAACGAAATAAATCATAAATTAAATAATACTAGCAACAAAGTGATTCTATCAGATTCGTATAGTGATCAAAAATATATTCCAACAGACATTCACAAGAAATTGGAAAAAGATAATTATGATGATTGTAATGATAAATCAAAGAGCCTTAAACATCAATGTAAAAAAAGTCAACAAATGTCCTTAAATAAACTAAACCTTGACACTCACCTCGGAATTCAACTGCCTATAAAACAATCCTATACATGTACTGTTTGTCAAAAATTATTTCTCTACAAATACCGATACGATGCTCATTTACAAAGTCACAATGTCGATAAACAAAAATATAAGTGTAAAATTTGTGATAAATCTTTCACACGTAAATACCATATAAGCATCCATAATAGAACACATACAGGTGAAAAACCTTATAAATGTGACCTATGTGAGAAATTGTTTTCAATGAAACATCATCTCTTATCTCACATCAGAACTCATACAGGTGAAAAGCCTTACACTTGTGACATGTGTAATGAATCGTTTACCCGCAAAGATATACTGAGCAAGCATGTTAGAACTCACATAGGCGAACAACTTTTTACGTGTGTTAAATGTCATAAACAATTTTCTATGAAAACATACACAGGAGAGAAACAATACTTCTGTCATTTGTGTCAACAGATCGAGCCTCAATCAAATAATGTGGACAGCATAAATACTGATGTAAATCATGACTTTGGCTTAGAAATGTATAACAATGATAAATGTATTGAAACAACAGACATCATAGATATAAAATATGAAAACAACACAGAAAGTAATGACAATGAATCAAGTATTCTAATGTCAGCATCAAACATGTTATCATATCAACCCTATAATGAAATGTTGAATAACACTAAAGAATTTCAATCTGATGTTAAATGTCTTGAAACATTCTGTAGTGTAGAGTTTAAAGAAAAACCGTATAAATGTCACATGTGTCAGCAATTATTTTCTAACAAACAAAATCTCGATTCTCACATTAGAAGTCATACTACAAAACAACCTTATACATGTACGATTTGTAAAAAGTCATTTTTCTATAAGTATCGTTTTGATGCTCATATAACAAATCACAAAATGGACAAGTATAAATGTAAAATTTGTGAGAAATCTTTTACCCGTAAATACCATTTTGATACTCATTATAGAATACATACTGGTGAAAAACCTTTTAAATGTGAAATATGTCTGAAATTATTTTCGCTAAAACATCACCTTATATCACACATTAGGACTCACACGGGCGAGAAACCATTTAATTGTGAGCTTTGTAATGAATCATTTCGACGTAAAGATATACTTAGTAATCATATTAGAATTCATACTGGAGAAAAACAATTTGTTTGTGATTATTGCGAAAAACAATTCTCTATGAAACAATACTTAATTAGACATATGAGAACGCACACTGGAGAAAAACCATTTATTTGTCATGTGTGTCAAAAAAGGTTTTCTCAGAGATCCGGACTTGATTGTCATATAAGAATTCACACTGGGGAGAAACTTTTTCAATGTGAGGTGTGTAAGAAATTATTTTCTAGAAGAGACAATTTAACAATCCATATGTCAGTACATAATATTAGCATAGAAGTTGACCACCAATGATGACAATTAAATGAAAACATATTTAAGTAACAAATATGTATTGCGATTTCAGAATTACATATCTCTTTATTATTATTCACCAATTCTAGTCCTAACTATCTCAACCATAGACCTATAAACTAATGGACAGCACTTAGAGAAAGACGTCAGGGATACTATATAGAGTGAGCGAGAAAAGAAACAAAGTAGTAAAATTTATATAGTTCCTTATGCGGGCTTTATGCTGGCTCCTTCACTACTTTATGGTTTTTTTTTCTCTTAGCTATATGGTTTATAAGATGGGCTGTCCATTAGTATAATATGTCTATGATCTCAACCAGAAAACATCAAAACTTGCATGTGTATACAAAGGGAAATTCCTCTTTATTTATACACATGTTATCTTATAATTCATTGTTTTATATAATTGTTATGTAGTTATAATTAAAATTATATTCTTAATTGTATTAAACTTAATTATTTAGAATTAAATTTAACTGTTTACAAATTTTGTAATAAAATAAATTTCAAGATCAAACTAAGTTTTAGTGTTCCAAATTCTAACAGTTAATGTATTATATCATGCCAAAATAGATAGGTATGCTATCAACTTTTCAACACACAGGTTCACCCACCACAAAAATGATGTCATCCGTTCTCCGATATTATATATTATTATTATTATTATTATTATTATTTCTGTTAGTGAGAACGGCTTACGTCATAGTTCATGACAATTGCGGGAGGAGTGCGCATTCTCGACCAATATCATTTATGACTTATGTTGATATCATACCTATCCATTTTGTCATGATATTATGTGCTTTGTCTTTTTTATAATAAATACGGCTCGACACATTATATTTCATAGTTATTTATTTAGTATGGATATTTTGATGTTTGTCAATTACATAAAAAGTAATATAATTACAATATTGTGTACTTATGGTACTGTATGGATTTACTTTTTTGTAAAACACAACATATTATAATTTGTTGTCAATAGTGTTGTTATATAAAAATATTATTATATATAGAGTAAATACCAGTTAATAATAACAAATCTCCATATTCAAATACAAATAAATTCATAACAATTGTAAATTAAAAGAATAATACACATATTATTTTCTTGTATGTTGCTCCAATAGAAAGACAAATAAGAACAAAATGCCAATACTTAAGCGACTTGAATTTTACAGAAACGATTCATGTTATTTCTGATGTAACAAATACACTGAGTTATAGTGTTTCTTTCACTGCGCATTAAATCTCCCATCAACTAAAACGATTTAAATATTTTTGTAATACATTATATTATATGCGATAGATTTAAAAATCAACTTACGGCTTCCAAAAGAGCACCCTTCCTTTCAACAACTTCAGTCCGTGGTGTTCTCATTGGTGGCATTTTTTTGAATGGTTTAGATTCTTTTTTGGAATTGTTCTTACGCTTTTGGCCACGATCATTAGCGGTTTTCACATATTTATCGTTTATTTTAGAACAATTATCAATGTTCACATCTGTACTTACTGTGTTACTGTCATTATCAATTAATGTAGTGGAATCTACTTCTTTGTTATTTATTACTGAAGTAGAACTTGGTTCTTCATTTTTCTCTGTTATTAAAACTTCTATAATTGGAGTAGTGCATGGGTTCTCACTTTGTTCTGATACATTTTTATTATCTGGTGATCCTGATTTTTTAATTATAGGCATTTCTTCAGGTGGTTCGTTGTCGCTTTGATTATCACTAGATAGATCATATTCCTGTATTAGTTTTAAAGCAACTGGTTTATTGGTTTCTTCTAATTGTTCATCTTTAATGATATCTGAATGAAATAAAATAAAACAATATACCTAAATTATAACATTTAATTAATATAAATATGTTTAAATATACTACACATTGTACACATTAATAATGATAAAATACTACATACCTAAATACAATTAATGACATACAATAATTTAATGTAAAAACCATGCTTATAACCAATTAAAAATATTAAAATAAAACAGTTAAAAATGTAATTTAAGAAAAAGTTTTAACTCAATTTTTTGAAAATAATCCTAAACGTAATTAATTATTATTTTTTAGTTATGTTTAATATCACTTATCTTCTAATATTATCTCACTAATCAAAAACTTTGAAATTGTTTGGTATTATTATAAGTACCGCTATATTATTTAATATATTGATAAAAAATAAATAAATATTCTGCTCTGCTGTACATTAGGCGACCAAAGCGTCAGTTTAATGGATTTGTTAAATTCGAATTCCATGATATTATATACTTGTATACGATGAATGATTCTGAGCGAAGACTTTCCGCCAATATTACTAAATATATTGTATGGCATAATTATAGTGAAATTAAAGTAATTATTTTTTTTATAAGTAACATGAAACTATAGAACATAATAATAATAAAAAACAGTATTTACGTATTTTTAAATTATTTGTTCAAATACCTAACCTAACCCTTAGCTATAAAAATTGATTGATTTAGAAATGTTTAAGCATAATTTAAACTTCAAATGATTATAAAAAAAAAAACTGTGCCTATACAGTGCCACAATTGGTGGGGGTGCACCTAAAAATTCCCGTTTTTCAAGAAGCTTTTGAAAACTATTTGGAATTTTTTACTTTTGACCCCCTAAAGTACAGAAAAAATACTGTTGAAGAAAATCCAAGCATTTTTACCGTCCTAAAAGGTGATGATAAAAAATTTTTAAATTAAAATAAGACATCATGACATTGTAAAATCAATACATTCATCGCTCCGCTCAGAATCTAAAATATCAACTCAGAAGAAAACACATATGGTTTACATTTCGAATGAAGGCCTGTGCAGCATAAATTATTTGATCTATTTTTGTAAGTAAAATTAATTCAATAAAGTGATAAAAATTGTTTTTCTTTTTAAAATTGTACTTGGTAGCACTGTGTAAACCAGTGGTGGGCAAACTTTTTTAATGGGGGGCTACATTGTTTAAGAAATTCTAGAGAAGGTACAAAATTATAGAAAAAATTAAAAAAATTAATTTTGTCTTAAAGCTTTGAATCATACCTACATCTACTATCTACTATCTCTACACCTACTATCTACCTACATCACGCTATTAGGGTACGACCACGCACAGTCCGCTCCAGTCCATTTATATATTTAAAACTATTTTCTTCGATCATTTTCAGAATATTTCGGGAATTTTTTATACTGTACTTTTATACTATACGGGCCATATACTATCCGTGTCGATGGACCCTCGTAGAGACATTATTTGAAGAGTCGAAATAAAAATGATTAGCCTCCTGAGATGAGAAACCATTTGTCTTTATTATTTTCTGGGTTTTTTTTTGTTACCAGGGTCCAGGGAGTTGTAAGCCTACCATTAATTGCACTTTTGTGCTATGCAATTTTGTAAGACAAAAGTTTGAAATAGGGGTCCCCAAAATTTGACTCGTACCTGGGCCCTTTTATCTCTAGTTGCGGCACTCTGCCAATATCTATAATATTTTCAAATTGAAATAATAACAACTTATGAGGAACCTTGTAGGTATTACATTTTAAAGGTTTTTGACTTAACGAAAAATTATTTATTGACAATACCTAATCAAAAAAAAAATCAAACATTTTTTATAACTATAACTAAGTTGAAAACAGTTAAAATTTGTTGACAAATATATCATTTATGGAACACTTTTAAATAAACCTTTGGTATCTACGGTCATTAGTTTTTAAGTTGCACCAAAAAAATAAAAACAATTTTGTCAAAAACTGGTTTCTCCTTGAAAATTATATGTAGTATAATATTAATTGTAACTTTGACAATCAATATTCGGATGTGATAAAATAGTATTGGAAAAACAATATTCCATCACTTAAAATTTAAATAAATATTATTTTAATTTAATTAATTTAGGGAATTACATTTGGTGAATCAGGCCATTATTTTAATCAACTCAATAACTTTTAAAAGAAGTAATGCATTTAGTTCTACATGCAAGGTCTGTAGTATAAATAATTATACTGTATTGTGTAAATGTAATATAAAATATAAATTACCAACTATCCCAGCGAAGCGTTTCAAGTTTCCGTTCATTGGTTCTTCAACAGGTTGTATAAATTCACCATTAAATCTTGGTCGTTTTCTGTTATTAAACCTTTTATTTCCTAGAGACACGACATTATATTATAATAATATATCATCAGAAGTAAACAATTTTAATACTTTACTTTTGATAATTTATTAGTTACCAGAATTATTAGATTTATTATTTTTATTAAACCTCTGGAAATCTTCATCTGCTATACGTTCCCCTCTCTTATTTTTTTCATCTTCCACATCTACTTTTATTTGAATAGTTTGTTTAGTTGGCCATTTTCTGCAAATATTATACTAAATGTTACAAATCTGATAACTGGAATAATATGTTCTAATATCCTAGCTAAACTACAATACTCACTTTTTTCTTTCTTCGATCCAATTTTGAACGGCGTCTGAATTATTACTATATAACACTTTCTTGTGCAGTCCTAATCTATGATGCAAATTTTGATGTTCTTTAACAGCACTAGCATGTCCCACAAAGTCACAATCGCCTAATTCACATGCTACTTGATTTTTATCCTTTTTAGATATAAAATTTTCTTTACTCTGTTTATTGAAACTAGGAGGAGGGCCTCCTCTAGGGCGATTATTTTGATATTGCTGTTTTGGTTGAAATTGAAATCTATTACCATGTTGTGATTGCTGATATCTTGGATTTTGTTGGTTAAAAGGAAATCTTTGATGTCCTGAAGGCCTAAAAGAAGGCCTTTGGTTGAATTCTTGTCTAGGTAAATTAAATGAAGACTGCTGTTGTTGATAACATTGATCTGCTGGTAATTTGTATGGTCGTTTCAACGATTCAGGACTCTGGACTTGAGGTTGATACATATTATTTGGTGTTGCGCTAAAACCAGGACTAGGAGACTGGTATGGAGAGGCCATTTGTTGATTGCAACTTTGATTGACAGACTGAAATGGGGGTGTAATAGGATGGTTGAAGTTAGGGATAGGAGGAGGGTGGTTGAAGTTTTGAATTGGAGGACAATTATTATAATTTTGAACAGGGGGTGGTTGACTATAATTTTGGTTAGGAGGTACATATATTTGTCCAGGTGTTCTATAGGGAGATACTGATTGTTGGTTGAAACAAGGACCAGCTGATGGGGGTGGATATTTAGGATTTGGTGATGTTTCTATATGTTGAATTGGAAGTTGATTTTGGAGAGGAGGTTGATAAAAAGGTGGAGGTATTGCAGTATCGGGAACTTGGTAGGCGGGTATCGAGTGGTCATGATGTTGTTGGCAAGGTTGATAAAATGAAGCGGGTGGTGTAAACTGTTGGGGAGGTGATTGAAATCGTGGACCAAATTGTTGACAATGTTGAAAAGGTCTAGGAGTTTGATATGACTGTGATTGTTGATAGGGCCCATTTGGTGTGAAATTTGTCTGACCGTTTGGACGATACATGTTGTAAGAATTTAATTCAATGATTTCTGAAATTAAAATTATAAATTATAATTTAAAACACAAACATAAGTAATATGAACAACAGTAACATTCTTTAGTATAATAGTATTTTTGTGTACATGATTCACACCATAAAAGTAAGACTTATGAGCAAGGCTCGGAAGTTATTACTAAATATATGGTTTTAAATTTAAATATATATGCACTTATAAAATTATAAATGTCAAAATATGCACTAGGTTTAAATAGTACTAAAAATATATAATTTTAAAAAAATGGTAGTATTAATGTGACCACCCCTCAGGAATTAGGTTTCTTTACAAAAAATTAAATTCAATGTACGAGCTTTTCCAAAAAAGCTTATCAAAAATATCAAAATAAAAAGTTGTATGCATCAGGGAAGGTGAAACAAATGTATATCTTACTTTAGATGTTCTAAGACTAACCAAAAAAAAATATGCATCTGCGACAACTTCCGAGCCCTGCTTATGAGCTATTATAAAAATTGTAAATTCCATTAAAACTACCAACTAATTCTAAATTTTTAATGTTAGAATAATAATAAACAATATTATAGTAACTTGAAATAATAGATTAGAAATTGTTTAGAAATAGTATCGACCTTCAAATAAATAAAAAATAATACTAATACTAAAAACTTTAAAAATATTATTATAACTTATCTGAAATTGATTACTTTAAATACAAAAAATTATCTTAACCTCTTAACTGTAGGTATATACAATCTTATCCCAATAGATGACACAGCCAAGTCTCACTGGTTAAAATTTAAGACACAAAATTTAAAATATGCAAATTCATAGTGTTACATTAGAAATGTGTTCGCCCAAACCGATGTGAAAAATAACTGACCAGGATGTTAGCGTCATATCATTGATACAATTAATTATTTAATTAAACTGGTTGGGGAGGGATAATTCTACATTAGCTTGGAGTGATTAGACCACCAAATTTTCAGATACAATTTGAAGAACACTGCAATAGTTTTGAACACAACATTAATCAATATTATTGTAAAATATTTTATGTATAAATCAAAAAATTAACTTATATTATAGTAGTATAAAGGAAAAATACCAAGTTGACAATATAATCACCGATCAAATGAATTATGCATGTAGTCACTTTTCAAAATTGACTGTACCTAATTAGTTTCTTAACACGAATTATATTTATAAGATGCAATTTTTAAAATGTTTTATACCTATGTCGAACTGGAGAAAACAGAGAGTTTTAACTTAAAATTGTGTGTAGCGACTGCAAGCACTTCTGTACTCGGTAGGTACTTGTTGTTATTATTTTTTAAACACGCAACAGCACAAGCATTGAAATTTGAAATCTATTCTGAAGCACGTGTTTATTTACGAAACTCACTATCAGTAAATGATATCTTAAACCACGGACTAAGATATACAGGACTGGACACGAGATGAATATTGTGGTTACGAAATGTTTTACAACAGGCGGAGTTCGGGGGGATATTTTCCTTTTAGCATTACTAGCGCCGTCTTAGTGGATACTTATGGAACTAGAAATTTGTATGATGTGTTCTAGTTCCATAAGTATCCACTAGGACGGCGCTAGTAATGCTAAAAGGAAAATATCCCCCCGAACACTGCCTGTTGTAAAACATTTCGTAGTCAACCCCCCCACACCCTCCAACCTTGTCGTGTCCAGTCCTGTATATCTTAGTCCGTGTCTTAAACCGTGCTAATCACATAAATCCCCAGTTCGCCAACCTTACACATCTCTTAGATTTGTGATATGAAAATATGAAATAAACAGTTCACTTGCACTTGGTTACACGGACACACTGGTGACAACCTCATAATCACAATAACAATGTACTTATTTCTCTTATCTCTTAAAAAAAAACTCATCTCTCAACTCCAAGCTCTCAACTTACTTTTTAATACTTACTCAATATTGTTTCCAGTATTTACTTTTGGTTGTAGTCAACCAGCAAATCGTTATGTATGAACCCAACAACTTTTTTCTAAACTCTTTTAAAACTTAAGTCAACTGTACATTTCAATTAATATTAACTGATGCGTACTAAAATGAATTATTCATCATCTTTAAACCTGATCGTCTCGCAGTACATTTAGTTTACTAATGGTTTTGTAACCTACCAATTAGTAGTCAGTTCGTCTTCGGTAAATAACTCAAGAAACAATTTTCTCATCCATCTATGTATATTTGCATTGTATTAACTGGTATATATGTTTCAGTAGTAGTTTTTTTTTATATCAACATAATCTAGTCGAAGTAGGTCGATATGGCTATTCAACAGAAGTACAGACGAGAAGAAGTTAGTGAAGTTAGTTGTTGCCTTAAGTACATCATATTCAGTTTCAATGTGTTATTTTGGGTAATATATAAAATTAAACTCTTATCTTAACTATTATTTTAATGTTTTAATCTTACAATTTTAGATGTTTGGTTTATCTGTGATGGCAGTGGGCGTTTGGGCATGGACAGAAAAAAATGCATTTAATAATCTCAGTAAACTCACACATTTAGCTCTTGATCCAGCTTTTGCTTTAATTTTAATTGGTAAGTAATACATTTAACACTTAGGTATTCGCATGGGGTAATTAGAAAAAAAAATCTTCAGTAGCATTATACAAAGGATTGAATAAATATAAATTATTTATAAGAATTATTTTATAAATTATATATTAGAAATAAAATTATTATTGTACCTATATTATTTAAAAATTGTTATTTTATAAAAAATGTATGCCAAGATACTATGCTTATAACAATAATAATAATCATAAATAAATAATAGTGTAAAAAAATTATAACAATAATTATCTTTTACCCTTTATTATACAGCGTGATTCTTTTATCAAACAACACTCATTATTTCAAAAAGTGTAAATTTTTTTGAAAATATTTTTTTACATAGTTTCAAGTCGCTTATAAAACTACGTTTTTATTAAAAAATTATATTTTTAAATATTTTTTATCCTTATAATTTTTTAAGTTTTTACTTTTTTGAATAACAACATAGGGTTTTAATTTTATATTCCAAAGCAGAATATTTTTCTTAGTATTTTGATACATGAAAATTGAATTTGGGTTGAGTAGTTTATGAGTTATAAGTATTTAAAGTTTAGACGAGCGGAGTGGAGTGGTTCGGGGTTACCCCGCGAAATGTTTGTCCACTTCACCGCTCGTCTAAACTTTAAATACTTATAACTCATAAACTACTCAACCCAAATTCAATTTTCATGTATCAAAATACTAAGAAAAATATTCTACTTTAGAATATAAAATTAAAACCCTATGTTGTCATTCAAAAAAGTAAAAAACTTAAAAAATTATAAGGATAAAAAATAATTAAAAATATAATTTTTTAATAAAAACGTTGTTTTATAAGCAACTTGAAACTATGTAAAAAAATATCTTCAAAAAAATTTACACTTTTTGAAATAATGAGTGTTGTTTGATAAAAGAATCACTCTGTATATATATAAAAATTCATACTGTGATATCGAAGCTTATAATAATAATTTTATATAAATTTAAATGTTAATAATATAAAATGTAATATTAGTATGTATTATGTGATTATATTGCCTAGTATTTACTTAAAGTGTAAATAATGTAATTCTTATAAATTATTTATATTTAGTCAATCCCCAGTATAATTTTACTAGGGATTTCTTGTGTATTGAGGGGATTTTTTTTCCACCGTTCACTCACATGTTTTAATTCTTTCAGGTGGAATAACTTTTATAATAGGTTTCACGGGTTGCATCGGAGCTTTACGTGAAAACACATGTTTACTTGGGAGTGTAAGAATTATAAATTATTATATAAATTAATACATATTAATATTATGTATCAAAATAAAATGCATTTTATTTTATTTTAGTATGCGGTTCTCTTAGCTGTAATTTTGATACTTGAGTTAACTGCTGGAGTTTTAACATTTGTTTTTAAAGATTCTGTAAGTTAACTTTTTCCTTTTATCAACTTTGAAGTAATTATTTAAACATATTTTAATGAATTAATAAAAAATAGATTAAATCACAAGCCACTGAAGGACTTCAAACATTCATCGTTCATTATAGGGAAGACCCTGATCAGCAAAATCTAATTGACTGGATACAGGAAGATTGGGTATCTTATATTGTTTAACACAGTTGTAATATTATTTTCACAATATGTATTATATATTTTTTTTTAATTTAAGTTACAATGTTGTGGAATCAAAGGTCCTGAAGATTGGGATTTTAACAATTATTTTAACTGCTCTTCACAAAAGGTGGGCAGCCGAGAAGCATGTGGAGTACCTTTTTCTTGTTGCAAACGTAAACTTAATGTAAGCTATTATTTATAAATATATCAACTTTAACTCTATAGTCCATACACATATTTAAAGTATTCAAACATTATTTGTAGGAAATAGTAGAAAACAAACAGTGTGGATATGACGTGAGGAAAGTAGGATTTGTAAGTATAAAAATGTTTGTATGTATTTATAATATTTTAAGACAATAATAATTAGTATAAATTATATAACTAATACATATAACTAATACATTTTGTTTATAAAGTTCTAATGAAACATATTCTAGTGCAGAGGTTCCAAATAGTGGGTCACACTAATATTTTCTTTTTATAATATAAAATATTTTATATATAATTTAAAAAAAAAAAAGATATTTTATGTATAAATACAAGTATATGATACAGTATTTTCCGTATGGCTCTGTTTTATATTGATTTTTGAATTTGGTTTCATAATTTATCATTATGCACAACGATTACATATGTATCATTGATGTGTTACCACAAATACTGCAAGAAATTAAATTATCGTAAACAGTGGCGGGGACATGGGGGTCAGATCCCCTCCCATTGGCTTTAGAGTTTAGACCTTCCATATTGTGTTTTATGTGGATGTTGAATCAATTCAAATTACATTCATTGTTCCTTATTGTTAAATATTTTACTACCTAAGTAAAAAGTTTTGAGAGGGTTATGGACTTTCCAATTTTCCCTTCCCTATAACCTTTTTTTTTTTTTTTTTGATCCCCCCCTTTCAGAAATCATGTCTACGCCACTGATCGTAAAGGTAGCATTTAACAATGAAACAAAAAAAAAATCTCATTAGTATGTTATAGATTGTCAACATTTAAACAATTTCCAAAATACATTGTACCCGTGAAAAGTTTGGAAACCTCTGATCTAGTGTAATCTAATAAAAGCTTTTAATCACTATTAACATTTGAAACTTCTAATACTGTCATATTTTGGCGATTATAGTATGCTGAAAAATGGACAAGCTTAAATTTACCAACGCAAACAGGTGAAAGAAATATATATGAGAGAGGTTGCATGCGGGCCGCTGAGGAATGGGTTGAGGATAATTTTATTGGAGTCTTAACAACAGTTATGACCGTCACCATATTGCAGGTATTCGGTATTTCTCGCTAACTAGGCATGCGCTTTTCGTGTTTTGATATTTGGTTGTATGGTGTAGTTATTATTTTTGTGCATGATTGTTTTGCATTTCCAGTATTTTGTATGTTCATTTTTATTTTTTTTTCGTTTTTTTCCAATGCTTGTGTGTAATTGTACGTAGACCGACGATGTCGGAAAACGAGTGGACCTCATCATTAATGAAAAAGGATGTTTGCAATCTGGAGAAGAATGGTTAGAAAGAAACATGCTTTTTATAGCTACTGTGTGTCTTATATCAGCTTTTTGTAAGGTGAGTTAAATTAATTAAAAATGTTTCCATCCTAAAAAAAAATACCCTTTGAATAACCATATATTGATATATAAGATAAGACAATTCTGCTAAAATGTGATTTTTTATTTCCTTACTGAGTATGAGATAATTTCCACAGGCCCGGCTCAAAGGGTAGGCGACATAGGCCCACGCCTAGGGCGGCACATAAGCAGCACTTTAGTAAGAGGGTGGCATTTTCAAAATACTGATAATATTATATTATTAGGGGCGGCAAAATTTGATTTCGCCTAGTTCACTATTTTCGCTTGAGCCGGTCCTGAATTTCCACATGATACTTATATTGAAAATTCCTTAGACACTTAAAATATCCTCATCATTTTTAAATCTCAAAGAATATACCAAATCATTCAGTGTAATTCACACTACTGACAATCAAAATTATACTTTAAATTCTTGTTTGTTAATAAAATAGTTAAAAATGTTGTAAAACAGAATTTCCCAGTAGTTAGCGGGCACATAAAACCTAGAAGAATTATTTAAAATATAGATTTAATGAAAATCAAAATAAAAAATGAGGGTATATACTAATTTACAGTTTACTTGGAAATGTAACAAAAAATAAAAATTTTACTTTCAACTAAAAATGTTTATGTTATGGATTTATAATATTATATATGTTTATTTAATCATCATTTCACTATATTTTTATTTCATTCAAGCAAAACATTTGATATTACTAAAACTAGTGGTGTATATAGTGGGTAGCATAGTGCCCCCCCCCCCCCCCCGAAATTACAGTCTTTTAATAGAACAACAATATATTTTATTAGGTACTATTAAAAGTTATAATATTTCATAGCTTGTTGAAAAATAACAAATATGTTTATAGAAACTGTTAAATATATAGTAGACAGTAGCCTCTGAGTAATAGATCACTTGCTAGTTTCTATCTACTATAGCCCATCCCAAAATATTTCTATATATGCCAGTGACTCAAACAGTCTGATATTATGTATGTAACATACAACTAGAGTTAAATCACTTAAGTTTGTTATAATAATAGACTCTATAAAAATGTAGCTAAATTCATGACAAAATAAACTAATTTGTCATGGCTATATTGTTGTTAATTAATTTTCTGATTCCTGACCATATATAATCATTATATTTTTTTATTATTCTCTAATTTAACTAAAAATAAATCACCATAAGATGAGATCTCTTGCTTATTTTTTTAATTTATGAATTTTATAAGATATTTTGACAGTTATTTGCAACAATTTTAATTTTATTATTGTTATTTGTAGTTAAATTATTATATCAGTGCACGTTTTTAAAAAATATTATTATTTAAATGTTTTGAATTTGGTATCAGTCTAGTGTTTAGTATACTAATTTAAATTTAATTGATGTGTTAATATTGTTTAATTTTAAATTTCAGATTTTAGGCATATGCTTTGCTCAAAATCTACGTGCTGACATATTTGCGCAGAAAGGCAAGTGGCACTAGATGGAATTCTTAAGAAATGAACAAACAAGATTATAAATATATATACTTTTTTTAAGAGGTTTTTAGCCTTATCAATATTTTTTCATAACAAAAATAGTGATAAAAAGATTGTAGTCCAACTATTTAGTGATTATCTGAACATGCTTCTATGAATTTTTTTATCCGATGTTTTGGTTCTCGATAAAGTTTGATTGGTAATTTTCATAACAATGTATACTTAATACCCTATTATACATCACACACTCACACATAACAAGATTAGATTATATACACCTTATTATATTAATTTTTTTTTTTTAAAGAAAAAACTAACTGTATAAATATGTATTTAAACTTGAATTCTCTCGTAAAATACATTTTGTGTTTACGACTAAAGTAAAATTGCCTATAATTTGAACGCACAGTTATGATTTTGAATTTTTTGAATTCTTGTTTATTCTTCTCATAAAGATATTCTTTGGTTATCTATGTTCTTACTTTTTAACATGTTCAAAGATGAATTATCTGCTAAACCAAAATTACAACTCTTGTTATATCTGTATTATGTTTCATTATTTACCAAACTTAGATCTCTCTTAGAATATTTTTTGTTTTTTTTTTTTCATTATAATACAATTTATTTTTTAATTTTGCTCAAAATATCTCAAAGTATTATTTTATAAATGGGTATGTAAATTGTATTAGATTTGTGCCAAACAAATTATAGTATTAATATGCAGTTTATTTTCAATGTATTTTTCTAAGTTAAGTTCCTACTAGTACTATTTACATAACCTAAAATTAAATTATGCTTAATTTCACAATTGTACTAATAAACAATAATTTTACAATACACGTATTACTAACTCAACTAACAAGTTTAATCTATACAACATTCCATAATATTATATGCATTTTTTGTAAAAAATTAAAAAATATTATAACAATGAATAAATGATCTGTAGTTTTTTAATAATATTGTTTTACTTTCAATTACCCACTTAGCAATTGTAAACCTAATCAGTGGTGGTTAGTGTAAGATTTTCCCCATCATCATAACTATACTGAAAATATAATAATGTTCATTTGTGCCATAGAACAATATTGTTCTGTTATAATTACGGATGACCAATACCAAGAAAAATATATAACTTAAAATAGCACAATTAATTTGTGACCCATATATCACAATGTGATTTATTTGTGCTGACAATTGTATACCTATGCAGTTAATCGTGGCACTGTGAGCTTGTTCCAGTAATCCAATATATATGCCATAGACCTTATACTCGTAATCGGAGCATTCAAGGCGGCTTGGCGGGGTTGGGTCCTTGGCAATTTGCGATAGTGATACCTGATAAAAATATTTTATATATATTATATACAGTTACACAGTTTATTGTACCATCTAGTGCGCATGCGCTGGGTAATTCGGTAACACCCGAACAGCGCAGTCAGATCTGACCGCTGAAACTATATCCATACTCTGTTGACTAGTAAGGATCCATGCTATACCTATACCCCTACCTAAATAAATAATCAATCATCAACAAATCATTATTTAATTTTTTTTTTTATAATTGTTGGGTACACAATAGATACTGAAAACATTTTATCTTTTAATTTAATTTGAGTTCCTTATAAATAATTTTCTTATTCAATATTTTGGGTGGGGCATACTATGCTTGTGTGCCCCTTACCACCATCCCTAATTTTTAACGCTTTATCAAACAAACCATGTTGGTACCATAAGTATTTTCCTTTACTCCATTCATGTTAAGAAGGAACATCGGCAGACAATTTGTGCACAGGGGAGTGGCTTAACCACACAGATGGTTGACTCGGTGGAAGTTGACAAATAAGTGTTGACTGTCCGAATAAAACTGGTCACCGCAGAAGTTCCTTAACGTAAATTGAATACTATACATACTTCACTATAAGTAGTACACAATTATTTTAAGAGTCCATTCAATGAACTTTTAAAAGATAAATCAAGTGCTTATAATGAAATAAATAATTCTGCAAGATTTTCTTAGATACAGTATTCTCAATATCTCAAATATTCTGTGACCCTTGGAAGTGTTTTTAAATTGTATTTGAGGCTCATAACTTGAAAAATACAGTCAATTTCATTTTTATTCCGTTCAAGATTCAACTGTAATCGGTATAAATAAAAAACACTTTATTAGTGGCAACAATATAACTATTGTTTACACATATTTATTTAAATGTGTATAGAATTGTTCAACTTGATAAAATAAAATCAATTAACATAGGTACTTGGCTATATTAAAATAAAATAGAAGATTTTAAATGGGAATTCTGGAAAATATAACATTAAGTTCTAGCTTATCATTAAAAGATATAAAAAAAAATAAAACAATATAATAGTGAAAAAGCTTTAATTTTTAAGAACAAGTATTGAATGTTTAAACCCAACATTTAAACAAATAAATACTAACTAAATTAACTTAAATTAACATATTATTTTTGCCTCTATGATAAAATATTCCACTATTACAAAATAATTTGAACAAATAAATAATGAAAAATTTCAAAATTAATAAGTTAATTATTAACATAAACGGATAACCATTAATAAATTTTACTGATCTGAAAAAGAAAAAAAAAATGCCGTTTTAAGAAATTATATTTAGTTACTAACATTTAAATATTTTATAATTGATAAACTGATACTTTAATTTGTAAGGCATAACTGCCACATATAATCAAAAAATAAAATAATTAAAACATATTATAGAATAGGATTTGATAAAAAATAAAAGTTCTTTTTTGAACACTTGTCATCCTTATCCATATTACAATTAGTTAAACACCATTTTTATTTTCAGGGGCATGCCATGTGAGTCTTTCTTCATAGAACTTGATAACAACTTGAGGGCACATTAAATTAGCTTCTTGAGCTGATATTAAATCGGCTTCTTCTATCCCCTTCCATTTCAGTAAAAACATCAATGAGCCACTGGAATCCGTCGCACCAATAATTTTTTCTGCCACTTTCTCTGCTGGAGGTGCTGCAGAAACATCATTATTTTCCTTTTCTTCTGTTAAATCTTCGATATCATCATCTTCATCTGCATCTTCATCATCATCATCAAGTTCATCTTCATCGTCATCATCATCATCTTCGGTCAAGTCAGACTTGTCAGACTTGTCGGACTTATTAGTCTTTTCAACCTTTTTCTTTGGTTGAGGAGAAGAAGTCTTCCTAAGTTCTTTTGGTGGACCACCAGACGGTCCAGCTTCTGATGATGCGCAACTAGTAACAGTGGAATTGGAAAGTGTACGTTTACGGCCACGCTCAGGTTGATCCTTCTTTTTTTTGTCCTTCATTTCTTTTTGTTTTAGTTTTTCCTCGAAGTCTCTAATTAACTCTTCGCAATCAAGATTTTCTTCTGGCTCCCATGTATTATCTACATCATCGTAACCATTCCACTTAAGAAAGTATTCCACCTTACCATTTCTAGTCCGTTTATCTATGATTTTTTCTACCGAATATTCCTCTTCTTGCTCTTCGGCTTCAGAACCAGATTCTATGTTTTTTTCAACAACATCTTTTGCTCTGGAATAAAAATACATTAATATGTTATTATGGTACATTAATATATAATAGTATATCAAAATAGACGTATCATTTATTTAAAGTGTTTGCTGCATATGACACCAAAAAAATCATGTAAATTGTTATAACTTTGTCAGCATAACAACTAAACCATGTTATATATACACTTCACCAATTGAACCAATAAGCATTATTTCAAATAAAAGTTGAAATCATAGGGACATCAACAATAAAAAGATGACAGTGACACTATAATATAGTGACCGTATTATATGGTAATGGGGAACACGAAAACGAACAAGCGCGTTAATGCTTATAATTAATTGAGTATTAAGGCGGGATCCCACGACTCATGTATTTGACGAATATCCACGAATACTCGACAAGTTACCGACAATCGACGGGAAGGTGGCGAATACGGAATAACGAATATTCGTACGAGTACTCCATTCCCACTACTCGGCGAGTATCCACGAATACCAAATATTCGTCAAATACACGAGTCGTGGGATCCCGGCTTTAAACTAGCAGCAGACCTATGGAAACACATTCCAACGTAATCGAGAATAGTCGTTTGAAAAACAAACAAAAGTTATAAACGTTTTTCAAAAAATAATTTCTTTTTGTTTGTTTGTCTGATATAATCAAAGTAAATAGAGAAGATTGGTCGTGTACTAATTGGTCGAGTTGTTGAAATGCTCACACGGTTGAGTGTTCACACAAACGAGAACGCGTATAAGTTGAAACTTTGAAAACCGACGCAAGCGGGCGGTAACGAATACACAACCGGCCGGACACGGAGGGCGCGAACAGGTTAGCGGCGGGCAACGTATACGTATTCTCAAATACTCAATTTTGCTACATGCAAATTAGGTAGACAATAGACAGTTGAGAGGTTCGCGATCGGAATTCCATCGTATAATCCCTCAAATGGTTTTCGTGAAATATTATTTTCACATTTTTCTGTAACCGATGCAAAATATGGACAATGGCGGTGGTGTATGAGATACGTTTTTTATGGTTTTATTTTATTTCGTGAAAACCTACACAGGTCACAGCCGGGCCACGCGCAGTCTCCACGATATGGCAAATTGGGAACAACGAGTGTAAACAATGAAAACCGCGGGTAAAATTACAACGAGAGGTTGGTGCGTGTGCGTAAATAATAGTTGTTACTAACCTGGAAGACATAATGAAGGTTGCTGAATGAAACTACAGGATATCAGAGGTCAGCGTCTGACAAATCAACCGCACGGCGGGATCCGCGGATAATAAAGTGCGCGACCACTGGAACAACGGCGATAGCCTCCGCGGTAGTAATGCAATGTGGTCAGGCGTTTAGCGGTTTAGCACCGGTACAGACAAGCAGACAGGGCAGTGATCAAACTAGAATTAACAAACAACTTTAAGTAACAACGACGCTGAATGGTTGGAAGTGGTGGACGTCAGTGTGTTCCGGACGGAAAAAAATACAGTTGTATGCGTGCAGCAATGTTGGCAATGCTGTCTGCCACTATCGTAATATTGTTCTACGGTAATAGCGCAGTGAACCGAATTCTATAGGTCAATTAATAATTAATGCAGAGAGGCAACTTCACAGCATGAACGACAACATAAATTTACATGCCACAGGGCAGCGCCATATTTTTCATTCCTGTTGCATGCGCAATAAATTCATTGGAGCTTCTGGCGCAAGCTCAATAAATTCATCTGTGCCGAACGGCCCGACCAAATTGGCTTCAAGCGGAGACTACGCGTGATATACTCATATTCTTAGTAGCCTTATCCATAGGGATGCCAGATTTCAAAATAAAAAATACGGGACAAAACTGTAAACAATTAAATTATGGTTGGTGGGGGGGGGGGGGGGGGGGGTTGAAACGTTGGCCTTTGGGTACCTACCATCCCAGTATGTTAGAGCCTGATAAGTGTTATACAGTTTATTTTGTGTAAAAACGATTTTTAAGAAACCATATAAAAAAATGGCACAAAACATTTCACAATGTAAGAAAAAATAACTAGTTAAATGAAAAATGTAAATTTTAATTTAAAAAGCACTTTTTTTAACTTTAGGCATAGTTGCTATTGTTAGAGTTTATAACAAAAAAATATTAGGCTAAGAACAGAAACGATAGGAACAAAATATTTATTTTTTTTAAATAAATATCTATCAAATTCAAATGAAAACTATGAATAACTGAAAACTAAATAACTGATAAGTGATAAGAAACGAGTATGCAGTAATTCACAATCTTGACTTTGGGTATTGATGTTAGGAAGCAGATTCCAAATTGCTTACCAAACGGTAAGTGATAGGAACGCAGAGACCGGAAACATTTATGTTAATATTATGTTATCAGTCAGTGGTTAAAAATATTTTTGTCTCGACATTTGAAAACACATTTTGAATATAATATATATGCAAATATTAAACAATAATGTATTCTATTTTTATGGGACATACGGGACGAGAATTTCATAATACGGGACAATTTTACGATATTGGATCTGTTACGGGGACACCGGGACACTGTCATGAATTACGGGACGTTCATAACTTATCCAGTATTTATTATCTAAAGCCGGGAACACACGGCGCGTTGCGCATCGCGTGGATCGTGGTGCAGTGGTATAGTTGAGGCGGTGTCTGATTGGTGTTGCGCGTTGTTGCCCGGCAAAATTTGTATGCGCAGCAAGTCCCTTCCAGAAAATTGAGGGTCTCTGTACCTCGGGCCAAAGGAAAATTGACTCGGAGTGTCGGTTTTAATGTGCGCGGTATATACACGATCCACTCTCCTCATGCCGCGTTACCCCCCGTGTATTTACATAAAATATAATTAATAACCAATAAAATTGACTATTTTTTTTTTTATGAATATAATAAAACGTAAAAAATTTTAAATAAATAGTTTTGTTTCAGGTAAAAGGTAAAAAGTGCCCAATCGTGTTACGCCCGTCAGGCCGTCCCTGTACATGTTACGAATCACGAAAAACGAAATACCTTTTGTTCTAAAGCCCCCAAGAATTGTAAACCTACTTGTGCATATGAATATATTAAATACTTAATTATTGTATTAATCATATTTCGTACAAGTTTCAAACGAATTTAACGAATTATAAATAAACTTGTATTAGTATACTAGTCTAGTAACCTGTCTGGTATTTGATTTTAATTTTCTCATTTTATTGACTTATTTATTTAATAGGTAAGTCGTAAGCACTAAGTACATCACTCATCAGTCATCACTGTAACACAATTTTCCGTCAACATACCACCCAAACCCGCCAGCCTTATGCCCTTATATGGTCTGTCTATTACTACCTATAAAGTCCATGATTATAATACTACATAATAATACCTATTATATTATAAGAATATAAGTTCAATTTGCGGACTATTTTATAGCGATAGAACTATAGAAGAATCTGGAATCGATTAGAATTGGAATCGATGGTGGACCTAAACAAGGTTTTTTAACCCAGTATTAAATATTATAATAAAAAATAACGTACAAAAAACAGCCGAATTCAACGCTCCTAACCTACTTATAATACTTTCTTTAAATATAAACATTGATATAACAACAAAATGACAATAGTTCATTACTAAATCTAATTTTTGTGAAGTTTTAGCCATTGCCCATTATGTTATGAATATCTTCAAAATAATTAACTTCTATGTCTCAATGTATATTTAATAATGTTGTTATAATAATATATTATATACCCTTATCCGCAGTAATTGTTATTCCGTCATGTATACCTAAATAGCTAATTAGCTTAGCCGCTTAGGTATTTCCCATGTCTGTGTACATTTAATAATTCTTCTGTACCCACGTCAATACTCAATAGGTATAATTTTATTTTATTTATAAATCCTATTTAAGTATTTTTATTTTTATTTTTGTTCAAATTATATTATTAGGTAATAATTTTAATTTGTTAGGCTAGGGCTATACACGGCGTATTCCGCCGCGTATAAACCAATACGTTTTTAATTCGACGGAAAACGCGGCGTTCGAAACGCTGCGGAATACGCCGTGTATAGCCCCGGCCTTAGTATTACATTTTCATTTTGCTTCAGCCGGTTTTTCTGTTTCCACAAACACAATGTAATATTATACATTTAATATTTATATACCTGTCTATTAAAGTATAATATGACAATTAAGATTAAAATAGAATAAGTAAGAATAATTTTGTTTTGAAACTATCAAAATAGCCAATTCGTAAATCTGGTTTTTAGAAAACTTTTTACCGTATCAAATTTTGTCTAAGTGCCTTTTTTTATGATTTCTATTATATATGACATCCACATCATTTCAAGTAAGAACCGTTAATTTGAAAAGTAAGAAGTAATAACATAAAAAAAAATTGAATTTTAATGGTTTACTATCTATTTAAAAATACTCATAAAATACTTTAAAAAAGTTTAATTTTTTGAATTTTGAACTGTTTCTAATTATAGTATAATATGTATTTTTATTTTTCATTTTAGAGCTTTATGTTATTATCACGAGTGGTTCACGACAAAAATGTCGCTAATGTGTGTCCTTAAACAACTCATTCATCTATCATGTGTGTACTGTGTGCCTTATTATTTTAGTAAGTTATTAGTTACTGTCCTTACTATTAACTAATAAACGTATTATGCATTTAATTGAATAGGTTGTTTATTCGAATAAATATTAAATTATTAAATAATAAATATAATGCTGATTAAAATATACGTTCATAATATAAAAATCAAAAGCTGGTTGCTAGTCTGACTAAAACCCAAAAACAGTGTATTGAAAAAAAAGAGGGTATTTTTAAATAGGGACTTATTCCTGGATAAGAACAGTCTTCTTCCAAATCACTTTCTTTTCACAAACATAAAAATATACTGTAAAAATGTTTAAAAAAAAACTTTCGATATATTTTTATCTATTTTTCAATATGTCACACATCATATAAATCATTTAAAAATTAGAGAAACAACAAAGAGCTATCCTAAAAAATTAGAAAAATGGAAAATGTCCTTTTTGAATTGAAACTCCTCAATTTATTTTCAAAAACAGAAACCAATAATATTATACATTAAAAGAATGATTTTAATAACAAATGTTGTATATAAAAATATGATTTTTGACTTGTAAAACATTTTATTTTGTATTGACACCCAGCACACCCTATACCTCCACGGCTTCACCTATAAGTAAGGGCACTGTCATTCTGATTAGCCCTGGGCGTCATTTTTTTGTGGGACTTTGTTATATTATTATTTATTATGGATTCTATAATAAAAGCGTTTGCACCCGGCCCAACAGAGTGCAAGCACTGGAAGCGAATGGCTCCACCCCCGCGAGCATGCCTATGAGCTGCGCATTTATGCACAAACGGAAATTAAAGCTGCGAATTCCAGTAGGAGGGGTGATAAAATGTATCTGATTTTAATTGAGAAACATCGAATATTATGTTTCAAAATCAAAAATGTGATAGTCGGGGATAAACGCATGAAATATTCGGGTGGGTGAGGTTTGAAAAAATTGTATAATCTTTGTACCTAATGCCTATTGTTATACCTATATTAAATGATAGGTAGGTACATAATTGGTATTATTAATATTTTGTGGGGAGGTTAGCCCTTCGCGGCGAAACGGTCGCGGCGAATGGTCTGGCGGCGAAACGGTCGCGGCGAATGGTCTGGCGGCGAAACGGTCGCGGCGAATGGTCCGGCGGCGAAAAAGTCAGCGGCGAAACGGTGCGGCGGCGAAACGGTCTGCGGCGAAATGGTCTGCGGCGAAATGTCCTAGACCCTACATTATACATTATATAGTCTGCAGTATAGGTAAAGGTAATAACTAATAACTAATACTAGATTACTGAGTATTATAAATAATATGGTCACCGTGTCAGTCGATTACGACTTTCGAGTTTTGTGTTATATTGTTTAGCTCTTCCTGGCCACAATTGCGTGCTCGGATGTTGAATTTGCAGACAATTATAATGTGTAAGGAGTAAAATATTAGGTACAATCAATAAACAATTTGCCGGTTTTTCTACTGTGCTGGTGTCTGTGCCGGTTTTTCCAATTCCCCGATATTCTATACAATTTGAAAATTATATTGGTATGTCTTTATATGAATAGTTGGTACTTCCATTGCACTCATGAACTCTTGAAGCTGACTATAACCACGTCCAATGTTCAGGACTCCAATGACTGCTGATGTATTAATTGGCATAAATATATTGTTTTCAGTACTCACGGTCTTTTTAATTTTACACATACTGCACTTAAACGTGAAAATCGATTTAAAACCAATTCGTTTCTCACCAATGACAATCATATTTTTAAAACTACAGTCAAATGGTTCATGGTTGTCAATATTTTTAATTTCCTCGAATAAATTTAATATATTTACAATTCTTCTACCGCATAAATCAATTTCTTCTGTACTATTCTTCGCCGGTGAATCTGATATGCATAAATTTGGATATTCTTCGTATTGTGTTTGGTCTTTTGTAGATAATGTTTCTGATTTGTTGATTGGTGATATATTTAAAACTGTATTGAATAACGAAGATGACACATTTACTTCTTTATTGATTGGTGATGAACTACTAGGTTGTAAATGATTCATATCCAACAACGAATTTTGGTACCCACCAGTATCCAGAGGGGTAGCTAGTGAAATGTCATCATCGGTTAACGAGTAGTTACATTTTCCGTGGATGTTGGTATTCGTAGATATTGACGACGTTGATTGAAATGCATTGCTAGAGAAATACCCGATTCCGTCAAAATTAATTAATTATCCTGCGTTTATATAAGGTACCTATATAAAAGGGGGCGTCATGACCATGATAGCTACGTCTAATTATATTATTTTTGTCAAACCAGTTTTTTTATTTTTTGTGGCTCTTTGTAATATTATAAATGTTTATTTTATTACATAAACATATTAGATTCTGAGTGGAGTGATGAATGTATTGGTTTTACAATGATGTGTGTTTTTAATTTTAATTTTTTTTTTTTGTATCTGTGTAGGTACATGATAAGTAGTCGAAATTATGCTTCGATTTTCAACTTCAGTGTCTTGTTTTATGGGAAAGTGAATTTAGTTGGTACTTTTGGAAGGTAAAAATTTAAATTTCCCAATAATTTTTAAAAGTACCGTGAAAAACAAATGAAAAATTAAAAAAAAAACGGGAATTTTTACGCAACATTGATTTTCGACAAAATCGATTTTGATTTTTGGTGTAACTCTAAAATAAATAACAGTAGATCCATGAAATTTAGATTGAATGTTTATACATGCATTTTCACATACCATACCGTTTTTAAAATATTTTGACTTATTTTGAGTTGTTTACGGACATTTTCAGTTTACAATTTTTTTAGGTTTTTTTTTTCCATAAATATCAATCAAATTTTATTTGTTGGATAAAAATTCTTGGAAATTTAATAGAAGGCTCCAAATATATTGATTCAAAGGCAGATGAAAAATATTAAAAATCCATAGTCACAATTTTTTTTCTAAGCATTTAAAGTTCAAATTTTGACAAAATACGCAAAACTGACGATAATTTGAAAATTATTTTGAGTTAGAAATTCATAAAAAATTTTCTTTTTGAAACTAAGATTTTAAAATGAAATACAAGATTTAATATAAGTTTTCTAATTTTATCAAAAATAAAATATCTAAAAGCAAGTCAAAATAAATTTTTATGAGCGTTTGAAGTTCATAAATTTTACAACATTGGATATTCACTCGATTTCTCATGTGGCGATTTTCTTATTTGGTTGTAATTCAAAAACGAATAAATGTAGATGCATGAAAATTTCACTGAATGTTTATATTCTCATTTCCCATACACCATCCAATTTTGAAAACATTTTGATTTGTTTTGAGCTGTTTACAGACATTTTCAGTTTTCAATTTTCTAAATTTTTTTTTATAATTATCAATAAAATTTTGTTTGGCGGGCCAAAAAGTCTGAAAATTTAATACAAGGTTCCTAATATATTGATAAAATAGCAGTTGAAAAATATTGAAAATACATAGGCACGATTTATAAGCATTTCGTGGATATATTATGTATATTTTAGAGTAGGTATATTGTTATATTTTAGTCTTCGCTCAGAATCGCTTTTTTCGTATATACAATGATATTATGACATTTTTACAGAACATTTATATACAAATTATGATTATCCAAAGATTATGTAAATAAAAAAATATTTTGACCATTTTTATGCTTTTTCCTGGTATATAATATATTTATTTTGATATAGCAACTTACGTAGTTTTAGTAAATGCCTTTACATTTCCTTTATTTTTTTTTTCCTGTGAGATAACGGCTTTCTATACTTAGGTTTGTACTTGCTATTCATTTTATAGATTCTATACTCCGCAATTTATTAATTTATAAATACCGCACAGACAAAACTTCACTAAACAGTAGTCAGTAGAACTATATTGGTGTTCACAAACTAAACAGTGACGACTATTACTACTTTAGTACTTTAAACGGTTGTCTATTGTCTAATGACTAATGACTGAATCTTCTAAATCATTGATATTTGGTAATATAAACGATAATAATTGTATTGAATTGTATTTTGTCATCCTGAGCGTAGCCGACAATTCCCAGTAAAATACAAATTACAAAATACCTAATAAGTAATAACACGAATTAAAATACTTGTAATTTACTGTAATATACTGCATATTTTAATCGCTGTGTCTAGACACCCGTGAGTGATAAGAGAAAATGGTAAGAGTGGTTATGCGGCGGTTACTCTGTGGTTACGACGGGTACACAACAAGTCTGGGGATATTTTCGATTTGCGGAGCGGAGCGACAGCGCCGAGGAGCGTAGCGACGAGTGCCGCTAGCATGGCATCACTGTAAATGATTTACGATTGTTTTTCAAGTTTGCCACTCTGTGGGACCTTTTCCGGGTATTGAATATATACACGGATGGGTCCGTGTATGTAAAGCGTACACGGGCACCCGGGTACCTAGACACAGCGTATTTTAATTCGTGCCTAATAATAATACCCTTATGGCCTTATCTACGGTTAGCTTGTGCCGCGTCGGGTGACAACGACGCGATGGTTGAGAATGGTGTGCGGGGTCACTTTACTCACTCGCAGGCACACGTCAAAAAGCTTGTTCGAAATAAATGCAAAGAAAAATTTCTCCCTAAAGACACGATTCTACTTTTAACAGTACGCTCTTATAAATACTCCGATTTAAGTTTTGAAAAAACTTATAAATTCTTAATAACATTTCCAAGGCATCGCTCGTGATACAATTTAAAAAATATTTATAATTATTTAATTATTTTGACTTGAAAAGTTACAATTTTTTAAGTTTTGTAATCGTTTAAAAAATAATATTGACAATAAATATTTAAAATTTATTCCGACCGATGCATCAAGCAAGTATTGAAAAATCTAAATCCGTTTTCAAAACTTATATCGGATGACGCATTCTAGAGTATGGTTAAATTTAGAATGTGTTATTTTCAATCAAAAACGGGCTTTTTCACTAATCTACAATTTGATACCTTGATACGGTGTATTATATCAACGAAAATGACTTCACAGGAAAAACTCTCACGGCCTGTAGAATAGTCGGATTTTAATTGTTTTTTTTTTTATTTTAAAGAAGAGTACATTTTTCAGGTCAGATGAAAGGCTGAATTTTAATTTTACTTTATATAATGGTAGAAAATACGTTTGCAAAACAACAAATATTGTGTATTATGCAAATGTATATTTTAGCTTATAATTATAATTTTTAAAATAGGGCTTTAATCCAACCCGAAAAATCGAAAAAAAATCAACGAAATACGACTATACTACAGGGCAGGGGCGGATTGGGCCACCGGGAATTCGGGAGTTTTCCCGGTGGGCCGCTTATTTTCAAATAACTATGTATTCTTAAATTCCTATTAGGTACCAGCCCAGTAAATTTGCATTTTTTTTTCCGATTTTTCAAAATAAGATAATACGAATTAGATTGCGGACGCCGGACAGTATGCAATAGTAGGTATATCAGGTAGGCAATCTACCTACTGTGGATTGCTGACACAACGATGAGAGACAGAAAGCAAAAATATAGTATTTTTCGAAAAGCAAAAACAGCAAATATAATATACCGGGGTCACTAGTTAGGACAGTTAAAATCGAAAACAACCCTTGATATGTTATGTAAAACCACATTGGGTGATCTCTAGGTAACGACAAACTTCGGGAAAAGTCTACTTTACTTGACGGAAGTAGAAAATAGAAAAAGTCAACCTGATTTGCAGAGCAGTAAGCACTGTAATATCGAAAACTAGTCAGGGTTTAAATTTCCGAAAATTGTTTCATACACTTTTTAATTCAGTATACTAATACAGTAATACAGTAGTACACGTATTTCGGGTGTAAACAATTTGAGCGTCATTCGTTTGGGTGAATCGGTAAAGCACGATTGAGCATAGACCTTTTTAGCAACACGATTGAGCATAGAATATTTTATGCGATGTTGCCACGTTCACGTTGCCAACATTTTGTAATTTATTAAAATTACAATCCGCTAAAGAAATAAAAAAAATTGAATTTAATATTCAAGCCTACAACCAGTATTTAAATCGTAAGAATACGGAATCTTTATTAATATATTTAAGCCAACTTGGAAACAGATACCAAGGTATATCAATTTAATTTATTATTATTTAATTATTAGCAAAAAGATTTTTATACTGTACTATAATGTGACTACTATTGAGACTGTTATTGATTTATTAATATTTTCATTTTATTATTTTCATTAATTAATTAAATAAATATTTTTGTATAATTCAGTTCAATATTGAAAATGTCAACGTTGCAGAGTTTTTTATGGTCAAACGTGTTGGTTTTCTTTTGTATTTCAATTTCCTTTGATACGCCGACAATGTATGCTCAATCGTGTTGCAAAAAATGTGTTTTATGCTCAATCGTGTCTCAGCCGGGCGAATAACCCAAAATTAACTTGAGTAAAGCATATATCATTTGGGCGAGAAATTAACCGATCGTTTAGGCGAATTTATAAATTATTGAATAATAGGGAAGTAACATTACGTAGGTATACAATAATTTTTATAATATTTACTATTTAGCAGCTAAATATTATTATTATATCGTTTCGGCTGATTGGTGAATACAGATAGTGAACTATAATTTGTTAGATTGCACTAAGACGGAGACAAAACATTTTACTCAATATTATATTACATAAAAATACTAAAGAAAAACAAGTCTATACAATTTTTCTGGTTGTTTAGAATTTAAGGACCTATATAATGTTATTATGAATAAACCACAGTAAAACATTTTTTTAGAAAATAAAAAGATACACATACATTTTGCATGTTGATTCTGTATTTCTGTTAATTTATACCTATCAGGTATATTAAGTGGAAGTAAATTATAAGCTTTTATTTAAGTCTAAAAACGCATTATTAAATATTATTGAATAGGTAATAACCTTTCTTATTAAATACAAAAATCGTAACATTAGTAATTCAAATTATTCACTTTTACTGTGTTATATATAAGTACTTGGAGTTTGGACTATTATAAATGTGTAAACATAAACTGTTC